TACATACAGGCTACCAAAGGACCCAAATTTTGTGACTGTAAAGTTGCTGCAATAGTCAGAAGTGTCTTGGCCGGCTGTAAGTTGAAAGGGTTGTAAGTTGAGAACTACCTTTATAGGAAGTCTTCAACTAACAATCATTCTTTTAGTGGCCATTCGGAGTTACAATGGCACTTGGAAAAAACAGCACTGTTTTTCACCCTTACAATCGTTGTAGCATCCCAAGTTACGTGCTTAACATTTGGCTGGCAACTAGCATGTATTTATGACAGTTGCAGTATCCCCAGGGGGTAATGTGATCCCCTTTTCTGACCTTCCAACAAGCAGTGTCAAAGGGGAAGCCAGTTATACTTAACGACCGTGTTACTCACAACTGCAGTGATTCACTTAACAACCACAGTGGTTCATCGGCAAGGAAATTGTGAAATGGAACAAAAGTCACCTAGCAATCGTGTCGCTTAGCAGCGAGAAAGTTTGGGCTCAATTGTGGTCGTAAGTTGAGGACTACCTGCATTAATAATAATAATAATAATAATAATAATAATAATAATAATAATCAGAAACAAATATTGAAATTTCAATCGGACCCATCATTTCAGTGTACGTTTTATTTCGCTCCTCATTCTCCTTACCTCCACTCCCTTTTCTTTCCCCCTTTTCTTTGGAGAAGCCTGCCATGGAGATGGAATGGTAACTATCATGACATGATTTGGGAGTGGGGGGGCACCCCAGGACGGAGGCATTTGATATGTCCACTGTGCTGAAGCCATGGTGGGAGTCAACATATCAGAAATCACAAGGACATTCGTGGTGTGAGCTACTTAAGCGTTCGACCTGTGCAACTGCCAGAAACGGTTTAAGAGAGCGCCTAATTCCTTAAAAAAACAAAGAATTCTAAATCCTCTAAATCAACTGGAAAAGAGGCAAGCCAGGTTTCAGATCAACTTCTCCCTTTTTTTTTTTTTTGGCTGAGCATTTTCCAAGCCGGGGAAGAGAAATGCAAAGTTATGGAGGCTGATGGGGTGAGGGGAAAAAAAAAACTGGCTGGAAAGAACGCAATGCTTTTTGCAAGGTGGATTTTTCCCCCTGAGTAGAAGAGCACAACCCCACCAGGACCAGGAAAACAAAAGGAAAATGCTCCAGAGTAGCCGCACTTTGGAGTGGACATCTGTATCCAACCAGCTCATTGGTTGCTGTGCCAGGAGGAGAAGAATCCAGAGGCGGCATCGGTGCCAAAATCTTCTTGGAACAAAGAGGGACATACACACGCTTACAGACGAGAATGAAAGAAAGGGTTTTTTTTCAAAGCTGGATCCATGGGAGAGGACAATAAGATTGGCCCCCGTTCCCACTGCAAGTTTAAGTGCAACTTAAAACAGGAATGATGAGATGGAGCAGCGGGAGTCCAAGAATCAAAACTTTAAGTTCTCCATGTTATCCTGAGCATAAGTTCTTGGAAAGACCAGATTGCAAATTTGAACAAGGTGGCACGTTAGAAAAGGAACGGAGAGAAGATTAGAAGCAGGATCAGGTTTCAAACATCCAAAGTGGTTCACGATATGGCAGAGCAGTGGTGAGGTTAATGGGAACAGCTGCCACAGATCCAGCTGTTATAAGCCATTACCTTCAGGAGTGGAAGCCTCCCCCGCAGGGCAGGCGTTGTTGCCTCGCTGTTCTTTCTCACTTCCGTGCGGGTGGCTTTCCGGCGGTATTGTACCGTTATTGCTTCCGGATGGACTCCTCTTCCGGAGGCTCCCCTTGACTTCCGGGGGAGTCCACCGAGGGATAAAAGTGATCCCTTGGGATATCAGCTCCTTTAGATAATGCTCGATTACTTCTTTGCCCTGAAAGAAATTGATTTGAGACGTTTAGAATTCAGCTGGCGCGATCTGTTTCGATGGGACAAAGAGATTTTGTGCAAAAGTCTCTAATTCAAGGGTTGTCAAACTCAAGGCCCAGGGCCCAGATCCGGCCCGTGATGTGGTTAGATCCGGCCCCACGAGGCTGCCCTGGAAACAATGAAGGACTGGCCCCTGCCATCTCAACTCATGTCGGCTGGGCACTGATCTAAAACTTGGTGGCAGCCATCTGGGCTAGAATGCGGTCAGCCTTCGATCCGTGGGGCCCCTGTGGAGTCAGCAAGGGGCTGGCATTGCCCCCGGGGCATCTGCTGGAGATCATGGATCTAGGGGTGGGATATCCCTTTGAAAGATGGTTTGCCAGGCCTTTGCTGAATGTGAATGAGAGGAATTCACCTTCGTTTAATCAAAGGAGTTTTGTCGGGACCAGGAATCTGCCTCGTGCTTTTTGGGGAAGCCCAATTCAGAACAGCAATGTATTTTAAGCAGAGACACTGCAGGGCACAAAAAGATAAAGGAATTCCTGAAGAATTTACTCCCTATTTCTGACTATAGGGGGCGCTGCTCGTCTCCGTTTCAAGATCATCGAGTCGGCATTGTCCAAAGCTTGGGTCATATGACCAGCACGGCGTCCCGGAACGCTGTTTCCTCCCCACTGAAGTGCTACCTACTTATCTACTCGCATTTTCATGCTTTCAAACTTCTAGGCTGGAAGGAACCGAGGCAAGGATGGGAGTTCACCCGCCGCGTGGCACTCGGGTCTTGAACTCGAGCGGCTGGCTTTCCAGTCGATAAGCCCAGCGCTTTTAACCACTGAGCCACCTTACCACCCACGTTGCAATGGACAGAAGATCGATATTCACCCGCTTGATGTTGGCTGTGTACTGCTTCATGGCGATCTTCTCTACTGTGTTTTCAAACCCAAAGAATGATTTGATATCGAGGGATGCAGACTGTTCGAAACACGTCCAATCTTCGTTCTCCGGATGGACCTACCACAGAGAAATGGCAGTGTTAGAAACCAACCCAAGAAGGTGATTAGGAAAATATTAGAATGTGCAGAAATGAACAGACTAAAGCTGGCAATTAAGGAAAAAGAACGAACTGAATATTATATTGTATGGAAATTATTTTATCCATGGTTAGAGAATAAAAATGGAAGTTGGAAATAAAAGGAGATTAAAGAGGAGTAGAAAATATGATATGATAATTGTTAGTATGAGGAGGATGAGGATTATTATTATGCTTAATGTTATTATTACATTTTCATCAGATGAAACATTAAGAAGAAAAAATGAACAGGTTCACTATAGCATATGTTTAATGTACTATAATTCTAAGATTAGAGAATTAATATCAATGAAAACGATGTGGTAAATTTTGAAGGTTATTGCACAGAAATATTTGTACCCAGACGACACACTGTTTAAGGAAAGATGGAATGTTCATATTTTTTTTAAAAAGCAATAAAAACTAAAAAGAAAAGAGAGAAGAAACAAACCTGGCTTGCAATACCTAAAAAACAGCTTTGAAAAGGAACTTTGAAATGAGTTCTCAAAGATAATGTTTACATCTTTTATTTTCCCCTCCTTTCAGAGACTTTTCATTAAACTTGACATACCCAGTTCCTGCAACCGCTCTTTGTATGTTTTAGCCTCCAGACCCCTAATCCTCTTTGTTGCTCTNGTGATTATATGTTATGAAAATGGAAAATAAAAAAAGTATAGTATAAAAAAAAATTAAAGTTACCTTGATTGAATGATTGAAAAATGTTACATTTCTAAGGAACATTGTATATTGGGTTGCAAAGAAAATATCAACACTGTATAATGAATACAACAGATAAAGATTTTTCTCTATTAAAGTATTTCTTTCAATATTCCGATAAACTGTCTCTGCTCAGACATTTTTATTTAAAGTCGAGCTTCTGAGACTGAATACCTTGTGTGGAGCCACATGAACATCTGCAAAAATGTCATCCTATGTGATCTGCTGGTCTATTTCCTGATGTTTTTCATCAATCTTTTTTTTGGGGGGGGAGGGGAAGCTTCAATATTTCTTAAAGGATAAAAAATTACATGCTCAACAGACAATATATGACATCACACTTTGTGCTCCTAGAGAAGATGAATATTTGCTTTATCTCATCTACATGTTTTAAGATGCATAGGAAAGTCAAAGGGCACCAAATATTTAAGAAGGCAAATTTGACAGAACTCTGAATGCAGACTCTTAAAAATTTATATAATCTGCATTTTCAGCAAACTCATTTGCAATCTCCAGACTTCCACTGAACTCAGTTTTTCTGCTTTGATAATTTGAATTGTGCAGCATGACTTTCAATGGAAAGAACTGCAAGCTGTATACAAAATGCAAACCTTAGAATAAAATGCCATGGTTTTAGTATACAATATAAAACCGTTGTACACATGTAATTAATGTGGAAATGGTTTAGAATGGAATATTGACTATATGGAATTAGTATTCTCCAGATCTACTGGGATCATTAAATCACTAATCATTAAATTGCCATCCAACATTGGAATTAGAATTCAATAGATATTTTGGGTATGCAACCAGACAAATCTGTTCCCTTTTAACTCTTACATATGAAATTGCTGATGGCTCTGGGAAGTCGGGGGGGGGGAAGGGAGGTGGGGTGTTAGGGGTAGGGGGGTAGGGGGGGATATATAGTATGTGTTAGATTTTAAAGTAACGNCTCACTCTGGGAGCCATCCAGGCAGAAAGCCATTTTCTTTATGTTGCCTTGTTACATTTGTGTTGCAATTGTGCTGATAAATAAATATATAACTGCCTAATATGTAATACAGCCCAGGTTCGATTCCCAGTAAGGCTTTGGCTAGCTGATGAGAGGTAAATAGCTTGAAATAGATCTATACTAGTCTCCCTTTATTTATTTATCAGCACAATCACACACAAACATATATCATATCATATCATCATATCATATCTATATATCTGCAGGAGCAGTGGGGAAGAATTTTGGTAACCCAAAGCTTTCCCTGAAAGAGATCCAGATTAAGAGTCTGCACAGTCTCGAGCTGCATGGGAAAGGGAGAAAAAATTAAGGGTAGTCCTACAATCCATCAGGATATATCTGGTAGGTTAGGGTTAGATTTTATATCATTAGTTTAGCAAGATTCTGTCCACTGGGAGTAAGTGAATAAAGGATTAAAATTTTGGGGTTTTTTTCAGTGTCTTGTGCTTAACAGCTAACAATTTGTCAAGCAGGGGTTCGGATCCCAGGAGGAAGGCTGTGGGAAAATGCCACCCCATTCAGAAATAACAAAGGAAGGTCTCTGGATTCAAAATAGGCACCAGTGTTGCTAGAGAGGAGTTGAAGTGTATTTTCCCCCATTCCAATCTTCATAGCATCCAGAGGCTGAAAAAGGACCTTGATAGCATTCTTGGTCAGCTCAGGGCAGAGATTACGTTACTGAATATCACATGTACTGCCAATTAGTGATGCTCCTAGCAGTGTTATGTAGATGTTAAATAGAAATGAGAAGAGAAATGAAGAGATGAAGTAGATATCTTGTGCTAGATCTCTCTTCCCCCAACAGCAGTGATTGGGACCACAAACCAATCTTGGAGGAAAAAGACCCATCAAATGCCCCTCTTGCCCAAACCCCTTAACCTTTTAGTCCAGAGCTGAAATATCATAATTGAGGGCATCAAGGACTGCCAAAAAGTTTTGCACAATACCTGTGCTAAGACATACCACCCACATCCTGAACCCACCAAATGTCAACCACAAGCACAATGAATAATATCTCCATTCCATTAATCATAATAACCAGATAATGATTTGACAGTGAAAGGGTATGATGAAAATGTAAGTAGATACCTATTCTGACCCCCCTCGTCCCACACCAAGCCAAAGATACTTTACGGAATTTATTCACAGACAGACAGGTCCTTGGCAGCAATCCAGCACAGATAAGCCCTGGCAGCAATCCAGCCTGCCNTCCTTTTAAGTTGCCTGCCTGCGTTTGTTAACGAGCCGTGAAAGGGGGGGGGTTCAGAACACAGATATATACCATTTAAATGTATATCTGAGCACATACCTTTTGTTTCATAATATCCATATGCCCCATTTTGATGTACACATCATTATAATTAATTAACCCATTTGGGGATGGGAGGTTGAGGTGGCTGAGGATTAGCTTAGTCCAAGGACAGCTGGTAAATTAATGAACTAGGTGAGATTTGAGCCATGAATTTTCTGATTAGTAAGTCAGTCTCTTGGACCACATTGTTACAACAGCTGGTCACGTTGATATTGCAAACATGCTATCATTTACCTGTATTGCATCACTAAAAAAGTGCAGGCATATGTGTATGTTGTGCGTTTGTGTTTCTGCATGTGTGGCACTGTAAGCTAAGTTCTCACAGAGTCAGGCCCGCACCTTTTATGATAGTTGAATCCATGCTCAAATAAAAGTAAATTGAACAACAGTATGAAAACAACAGGATATGAGAAAGACTTTCACAGTGCTGTAGCCTATCCTTGATCTCTAAGCATTACTGCACAGACCCTCATGTTTCCCACTTTTTAGAACAATACTTTGATATTCCAACAACACTACAATCCTATAGATGTCTACCCAATAGTAAGCCTTGCCAGGATTTATTTAGCAAGACCTATTCCCAAGTTAGTGAATTTAGAATTATTTTGCTATGTTGCAATAAAAACACCCGAAAACCTCAGGCTAGACAATTATAGAAAATTTGGTCCTTGATTGGGAATAAATTGCCAATCTTTGTCCTTAGCTAGAAAAACACCCTCAATACCCTGTGAAAGAGCATCAGGGACATGATGACCAATTTAGAGGTGAATGGTGGGACAGAGTGCTTTTAAATAACAACACGCTTTAGCAAATGCAGCAGCCACTCCATCTACTAGATCTGCACACGTCCTTTCAAAGAACTTTATTTATTTATCAGCACAAATACAACATGTGTGTGTGTGTGTGTGTCTGTCTGTGTGTCTGTGTGTCTGTGTGTC